AAAAAAAAAAAAAAAGTGAAGCTGATTTCTACCAACATCTATTTACAAACCCTTCACTTTGATTTTAGCAATGATTTTGTCTTCTCTCTCTGTTTGCAAATAATGAAAAAATACTAGGAAACATGGGTGATACCAAGCTGGAGAGGCTCTGAAGCATACTGGGGAACAAAATAGGAAAGTCTGAAAAAAGCAGATGCAATTCAGAAGACAAGAATCAATCACATAAACAAAAATTAAATCTATTTATTTAACCATGCAAACAGAACAAACAACTATGTTTGCTTTGTGGTACTCTAAGAAGCGTACAAAAGATATAACAGATCACAGACTGTGTGCCAGTCAACAACATACTCGATACAAGGAGGAATACTGTATTAAGAATTGTTTTTCCCTATTGCGTTTAAACCCCAAGTGCAGTCTGCATCCTTTCAAACTTCCACCCTTCCAGAAAAATATAGGCAATCTGGATCTGAGAAGCAGCAACAAGTCCAATCTAGGAAACAGGTGAAGAAAAGGATGAAGAACTGAAATTGTCTCAATAGGATAAAGCTAAAGGGGCCAGTATCAGTCCTCAAATACTCTGATGGTACCCAAAGGCGGATAGAAGTTTACCCTTCTCTTAGCTTGTGAAAAGGTCCTTCAGCAGCAAGCCATGAAGGTGCCTAGAAAGGCTGTTGGAAGAGTAATGAATGAAGAGGGTATAACAAATGCTCTATTTAGGCAGAACAGTAAACTAGATCAGTTCTCATATAAATGATCTTCCCAGTTATGCTTGCATTTACCCAATATGCCCAAAATCTGACACCAAAATTAACTCCTCTACAGCATGGAAGCAGTAATTTCCAGAAAACAAAAGATAAATCTCACTTTCTAAATGCTAAAACTCTCCCTTTTCCTATTTGGAGATTTTAAACACTTGAACAGTTGACAGCTCCACTCTAATAATATGGGAACTGGTACAGATACCGAATATGGATTATTTCCCAGCGATACACTGGAGTAAAGCAGTACTGTTCTGCTGTAGTGAGCTTCATGAATTGAAGAGGAAAATTAAAATAGAATCTGCAGTTAGTGATCAAAAAATTTACAACTTTTCTATATAAGTTTGGGACTATAAAGCAAAGCTTATGGCAAAATATTTGCCTAAGACACCAGAGTACTATTAGGAAAGTAACACAGTTGATAAAACAAAAGCAGACTCACCTTCCGCAACTCAATTGTAACTTCATTTCTGTGTCTTCTCATAGTCTGTAAACAAAAAAGACAATTGGTATGTCAAGAAAGTAGTATTCTGTTTTGGAATCAATCACCTGTTTCTAGGTCAAAAGTGTAGTTATTCATCAAAGGAAGCTGCTGAAGTTGTTTTTTGTGACATTTCGCTTAGGTTGGTTTTTTTTATTGTTGTTTGTTTGGTTGTTTTGGTGGGTTTGTTTTGTTTTGGTTTTTTTTTAAGATTATCCACTTTACAGAAAGCTGTGTCCTAAATCACAATAAGTATCCCTTAGGCAGAAAATACTGACTTCCCCACCGATTTCATTGGAATGACTCTCCAGGTGTTTATATGTGCAGACCAAAAGCAGCAGTAAATCCAGGTTAGACATATGATCACACAACCTAAACACATGACCTATGCCAGTATCTGGCCAAAATCAACCATGAGTGACAGAAGTTGACTGAGCTCAATGCAAACAAAATCAGGCTTGTGGCAAGAGGAAACAAAGTAGTACGGTGGTACTAAGTCTATTTAGGATCTATAAGCTAAACACTGTAAAGGAAAACCACCCTGTAAACACCTCAGCTCCCTAAAGATACTGGGCACTCAGAACGCATTCCTGACAATGCTGCTACAGCTCTTATCTAAGAGAGATCAAAAGACTGAAAAATAATTTTAGCCTACTAAAGGCAATCCCCCCTAGGCTCATTTAACAATCAGTGGAAAAGACATATACCATCAGAATGCAATTCAGAGAAAATCAGGGCTGGATGACCGCTGGCAGCTCAGAAAGATCACCCACACTAACTAAAATTAAAAACACTTCCTACGTCCTATCCTTGCTACTGACCTCCACTGTCGCTATCATGTTCCTTTTGGGTTAGGACAAATAACTCCCTGAGCAAAAAAGTACCAGTGAAGACCAGCAGTAAAGACCAGCACTGCCATCAGTCACCTAAGGAAATACCAAACATGATAAAGTTCAAACATAGGTAAAAGAAATTAGCAGACTTCACACCTTGAACCTATACAGGACATAACTGCAGTACTTAAAACGTTATCTTAGTTTCACTGTTCTCAACCAGTTTGCATAGCAGCACTCATTTCACAGAATCATGGAATGGTCTGGGTTGGAAGGGACCTTAAAGATCATCTAGTTCCAACCCCCCTGCCATCAGCAGAGATGCCACTCACTAGATCGGGTTGCTCAGAGCCCCATCCAACCTGGCCTTGAATGCTTCTACAGTTGGGGCATCCACAACCTCTCCGGGCAACCTGTTCCAGTGCTTCACCACCCTCTGAGTAAAGAACTTCTTTCTAACATCTAATCTAAACCTACCCTCTTTCAGTTCAAAACCATTGCCTGTATACTGCCTGTATAAAAAGTCCCTCTCCCTCCTTTTTATAAGCTCCCTTAAGGTACTGGAAGGCTGTAGAAATGTCTCCTTCACTTCTCCATGCTGAAATTCATTATCTTGGGTTGACTTGAGAGTAAGGAAGGCTTGTCTTCCTGCCCACTGCTTGATTAACCAGCTCACTCATGTAAACACAGACACAGTTCTCCTTTTACATCTACAAGCATGAACTATACTACTTACTACAAAGTAAGTCCTCATTACATTAAGAGGACACTAGCACTACAGCATCTATCAGAACTACACTTATTTCCCCCCCTCATTTTTTGGTAAACCATTTGATACTTGTGACCACCTGAGCCTGCTGCAAAAACTTATCATGATAAGGACTGGATAGCTGGGAAATGGGAGGGCACTGGTTAGGTAGGTCTTGAACAAATTAAGAACCCAAGAAGACATCACATGCAACTAGCAATACCAGTTATTCAAGTCTGTTGTTCTATTAGAATTTAATATTTGAATAATCGTAATAACCGTGTCAAATTTAAGGGTACTATACAGCCTAAAGTTTTTCAACACTTCTGCCCCACGACAGCAGCCTTCCAGTACCTACAGGGAGCTACAAGAGAGCTAGAGAGGGACTTTTTACCACAGCATGGAGCAATAGGACAAGAGGAAATGGCTTTAAACTGAAAGAGGGCAGGTTTAGATTAGATACTAGGAGAAATTCTTTACTGTGAGGGTGGTGAGGCACTGGAACAGACTTGCCAGAAAACCTGAGTATGTTCCAGCTCTGTGTTTAAGGCCAAGTTGGATGAGGCTTTGAGCAACCTGGTCTTGTGGAAGGTGTCCCCTGCCCACGGCAGGGGGGTTGGAATTAGAAGGTCTTTAAGGTCCCTTCCAACCCAAACCATTCTATGATTCCATGACTCTGCATTTCAATGAAAAAATGTAGTTAGACAAGGCTGTAATATCTCCTTTTCTTGATCATTCTGTGTTCTAGACACCAAGGTTCTTTACCAAACTTTTCACTAGCAACACTGCCCCACCTCCAAGAATCAAATCTTTTATTCCTACTTAACTTTTAAGGAGTACCCCACCACATGACAAATCAGTCAACTTGAGTGTCCATTAGAATTTTTCTCCCCAAAATCCAATATTGTATGTGCCAAATCTGAACTTTCGGTGATTTAACTGATGCAAGGTACAATCTACTTTTAGATTTGCTCCCTAATTACAGTTTACTCATTTATCTATGTGAAAATACTCCAGAATACTTATATTGAGCAAAAATTTAAATCAGACCAAACCTGAAGCTCTTTAGGGGACAACCATAACATTTACCACCTACAACTCTTCTGGAAGCAAGACAGATTTCAGAAACATTACATGCTGTGCTTAACAGCTCAGCAGATTAATATTTTTGGTTTAGGAAAAAAACAAACCCAGTGCAGTCCCAGGTATTAGTACTCATTTCATCAATTTCCTCTAAAACCTTCCCTAACAATGCTTTGACTAAATACAGTAACTCAGTCATCCATCCATAAAGGCTCTACTGGGTAGACTTTAAGCTTCTTTTCAAAGGCAAATAATTCACTCAGATTTTTCCATTAGGGTATTGTCTTTTTTTCATACCTCCATTACTTCAACCCCACTGATCCTACCCTATAACAATTCTGTCTCAGTACCTTTTTACAAGTTTTTATCAAGCTGATCTTCAAAGTATTT